CTCCTTAGTTCCCATTGCCTCTACAGATGGTTCAGTTGAAGACTCTAAGATGATCCCCAAGACATTTTACTCTCTCTTGCACAGTGCACATCTAGAAACATTCTTTACCAGAACAAACTCTGGGTAGCCAGGGCATTCACAGCTCAGCAACAATGTTCCTTCACTCCCACAACCAGAGAAACTAGTCCTGCACAGACGTGAGTCACGCATGAGTCTTTGTGCCTTGTGGCTCAAGGACACGTATCAAGCTCTCCAAATGGTTCTATGAAGCATCCTCGTTAGGCTTGAGGCAAGTTGAGGTGCCCCACAGCCTCCTCCTGCCATGAATCGCCAGGAATCAGCACAGCTTCTCCAAAGAAATGTTAAAATGTGGAAGCAAATGCCAGAAAAAACTGTTAAGAGTGAAAGTAGTGGTCTCTAGAGAGCGAAACTGGGGAACCACTAGTTTATGAAGTCAAACAGCCATAAATGGTTTATAGCAGAAAACAATGTTTGACTTCATAAACTAGACTCATGTATTACTTTGATGAGGCATTTAAATTAGGAAAAGGGAAACACATAGGTGTTATCTTTTAAAACATAATTAAAGGCAAATAGCACTGACATAAAACATATAATACCATTTATATATTTTAAAAATTAGAGGGAGAATTTCCTGCAAGTACAACTATAATCTTTATCATAGCAAGGATGATATACAGTAATGTCCCTGGGACATGTAGCAGGAGGAATGTTTAATGATATTACAAAGCAATTGCTTCGGAATCTGTTTCCTCCTGAGATACCAAGTAAACAATGTCTCTACCTAACATGAGGTTTAAAATGCCTCCATGAGCTGCATTAAGAGAGGAAATGCCACAAAGAAAGTAGGGAACAAAGAATGCTCAATTTGAGCAAGAGGAAAGTTTTCACATCCCTGACCCTCCCCAGGAGTTACCAGGTTCAGCGGATACCTGGGATTCTCCAGCCTATTGGATAGAACAACCCTCCTTGGTTAACACAGGGATAAAGCCGCTATACAGAATTTAAAGAAAGCTTTGAAAGTGTGCACTGGCAAAGGCTAAGAACTTAGTGTAGATGGACCCTGTTATAACCAGCTGACACCCTAGCATGAGACAAGGTCAACGAGGAATTCACATGGACAAGCTGAGCAGAACCTGGGGGAAAAAGGAATGCAGATCAGACTGAACCCAGGCTACAAGTTCTTCCTGGTTCTGGGAGGCACTGGAAATTTATATCAGAGCCATGTGTTTATCTTTAATGTAATACACAGCAAAGTATTTTGAGTTTTCATTTTACAGTAGATTTAATCAACCACAAACACTTTTATTGTCTTTATAAAACAAGCTAAAAAATCTCTTGGAAGCTCTGACTCGGGTGGGGTAAAGGAAATATACATAACCTAAACATTTGTATCCCCGTAACATGCTGAAATTAAAAAAAATCTCTTTGAGGGATTGGCATAGACCTATGTCAGGATAATTTATAAAATTCTAATTTATTCAGTTCTCTTGTTTTTCTCTTCCTCCTGTCTCAAGCAAGAAGGAAATTACCTCAGGAATTTTTACAGAGCTGAAAACATGTACAGATGAAGTCAGAGGCTCTTCTTGTCTATAAAACCGAAGTCTGTTGAAGATATAACCCTGAGTGTCTTGGAATGGAAGTAGAGAGAGGAAAGCATTTTTAAAAGCAGAAAAGAGAGAGAACAGACATTCTGGGATATTAGACAGGGGACAGAAGTCAGTGGGTTCCAAGGAGTGTCAGATACCTGTGCAAGGCTTGATGGCAGTGCCCAGAGGGGGAGGCAAGTCCTCCGAGGGCAAGGCTTGTAGTGCTCCTAAGGAGAACAGACCTCAGGCCCAGGGGCTCCCAGGCTCCCCCAATATTCTCCTGCCCTGTGTGAACCGTCCGGAAGCAGGTAAGGTGTCAGAGCACTCATGAGACACAATGTCAGCAGAAACCCATGTGGGCCATCACTCACTAAACAGAATGGTCAGGGTTTCCCCAGACTCTTTGCACGGTCCCGGGGCAAGAGACAACCATGACAGTGAGTGAACTCACTCCGCCTATTATTTGGGATAAGGGCTCAGAGTCAGATTTCAGCTGATTTGAAGAAAACAAAGAAATGTGGTATTTCCTGCACAGGTGCGTTTGTGAACTGAAATTCATCCCCACAGCAGATAGATACCTGGAATGGATGGATACCACCTGACTTTCACAGGCACGATTTTGGTGTCCAGTGGGGACAAAAGTGAATCATGAACCCCTCTTATGGAATGATGTCTTAACAAGCTTCAATAAATAAGTGGAACAGAGAAGTTTTGAAAACTTATTGGGAGCAGTTATTATCCCATTTCTGACTAGTCAGGGAATGTCGTCTGGTGGATTGTGCTTAAAAGTGTGGAAAAATTGGTATATCGGTCCAGTTTATTAACTCTGATAGTTCAAATATAGAATACATCTGTGTTTACAGTATACATTATGAGCACTTCAAGAGATTTTTTAGGATTATTTAAGAATGTTATAAAGATAAAATATTTGTCTGTAATATCTCCCCTTAAGATTGCTTAATAACATTTAGAGAAATATACAGTATATTCTACATGGATCACATACTAGATTTGACTTATTTTGATCCATATGGAAAAACTAGTGTAATTATTAAAACTCACATTGGAAACAAATATTTCAGTTAATTTTTAAAGGCTCCATCAAATTCTTTCTTTCTTTCTTCCTTTCTTTCTTCCTTCCTTTCTTTCTTTCTTTCTTTCGTTCTTTCGTTCTTTTGTTCTTTCTTTCTTTTTGAGATAGAGTCTCACTCAATTGCCTGGGCTAGGTGCTGTGGCATTAGCCCAGCTCACAGCAGCCTCAAACTCCTGGGCTCAAGCGATCCTCCTGCCTCAGTCTCCTAAGTAGCTGGAACTACAGGCACACACCACCACACCAGGCTAAAAATACTTTCAACCTATTATTTTGTGGAGTTCCCAAACCTAATGTTTTTTTTTTTTATTTTTATTTTTTTTGAGACAGAGTCTCACTTTGTTGCCCAGGCTAGAGTCAGTGCCGTGGCATCAGCCTAGCTCATAGCAACCTCAGACTCCTGGCTCAAGCAATCCTCCTGCCTCAGCCTCCCAAGTAGCTGGGACTACAGGCATTCGCCACCATGCCCGGCTAATTTTTGTATATATTAGTTGGCCAATTAATTTCTTTCTATTTATAGTAGAGATGGGGTCTCGCTCTTGCTCAGGCTGGTTTTGAACTCCTGACCTCGAGCAATCTGCCCGCCTCGGCCTCCCAGAGAGCTAGGATTACAGGCGTGAGCCACCGCGCCCGGCCTAAAATTTTTTTTTTTTTTTTTTGTCAAACCTAATGCTTTTATGCCTTTCTCATTTCAAAAATCATAGTTAGGGAGTTTATTCTTAACACAGCAAGAAACGTAAGACATTAAGATGAGTGCAAAAGACAAAATATGAGATACTGTCTCTTCATCTAAAAGAAAATTGATCAGCATAGATTCCTTGCCCAAACCAGGGGAAGCATTAATAAAATCTAATCTGTTAATTGCAAATGAACTAAAATTATTAAATAACCTAAAGTTAAATTTTATTTCCCATTCCAGAAACATAAATATTAATGGAGGTTTTTTTCCCCTTGCTATTACAAAATTATGTAGTGGGAATTAAAGAACAGAAGGAATCATTCATCAAGGAAGTGGCTCTCTACTGATTTCATTAAAACCCAAGGTTACCTTTAATGTTTCATGTCTCCATCTTTTGGGGGGTGGCTTTTTCTACCTTCTCTTCCTCTTCCTCCTCCTCCTTCTCTTCCTCTTTCTTCTCCTCCTCCTCCTCCTCTGCCTCCAATTTTTGTCTTCTTCAGCAACAAAAGCCAGTAGTGCAAAGTGTTTAGGGCAAAAAGACCTGAGTTTGAGTCTCACCTGGACCATTCCCACTAATCTTGGGCTAATGAATTAACTTCCCTTAGTCTCCATTGCTTTATAAGCAAAGGGGAGGTAACAGTGCCAAGCTCACGGAGTGATGATGAGGGAAATGGCAGTTAAGAAGCTAGCAGCCGGCACAGAGCAGGCATGCAATCAGTGGTGGCCGTCATTTTTTTCCCTTTGGAAAAGGGGTAGCCAGGCATAGTGGCACATGTCTATAGTCACAGCTACTCGGGAGGCTGAGGTAGTAGGATCGCTTGAGCCCAGAAGATTGAGGTTGCTGTGAGCTGGGCTGACGCCATGGCACTCACTCTAGCCTGGGCAACAAAATGAGACTCTGTCTTAAAAAAAAAAAAAGCATAGTCTGTTTTAGTGCTATGCTTCTCAAGCCTTAATGCGTATATGATATTGCTGTTAAAACGGAATGTTGTTAAAATGCAGATTCTGATTCAGTAGGGGTGAGGTAGGGCCTGAGATTTGGCATTTTCAATGTTGCTGTTTCGGCTACCACTTTCAAGTACACATTTTTTAGAGGTAAAAAGAACATGGAAATAGTCAGAGGAGAAAGATTAATATGGAGAGAAATAAATCAACATATATAGAATGCCCACTGTATGCCTAGAAATGTATACATAAATACATCTTTTTTTTCCATTTGATCCTCAAAATAACTTTGAGAAGTAGGTTTTTTTTTTTTCCATTAAACACAACAGGAAATTGGGAATCAGGTACCCTTGCACATAAAAGACTATTGTAATTCCAAAATTCACATTCACTGCACTCCTTGAGAGAGGACACTGAGGTAACCAGAACAACAGAAGTGGACAGGACAAATTAATCCAAGTGGGAGGGCACGACTAAGTGGCAGGAGGCATCAGGAACCTGTGGAGGGAAAACTGGAGGGGCTCAGGGATTTGAGAGTGCTGAGATAAGAGTGCAGGGGTAGTAATCCCCCTTTCTCCCAACCTCCTTCAAACACTAGAATAGTTGCTGTTCTAAGTTCAACCCCTTCACCTTTTGTGTCAAATCATCATTGACAAAGCACTGATGCAACTGTTACCTTTCATGCAATGAAGGAGTGGATCTGGTCCAACTTCACCTCTCCAAGTTGTTTCTATGGTTACCAAGATAAGAAAGAAAATGCAAAGAGGTCAAATGGAAAAGAATCAGGTACTGAAGTTCTAAATGGACTTTTTCAACCATTGAACTTGACAAAGAGTTCATATCTAAGTTCAATATTGCCCTAGCAAACAAGAGCTGCAGCCAAAGGTATGAGTCTGTGATTACAATGAACTCTAACAGGTGACAGTCATATGGCAAGAGACAAATGCTGCCATAAATATCTTACTGTAAGGCAGCAAATATTGTAGTGTTTCGGTTCTATAAACTGTGAATTTCATTTAAGACAGTCACAAAGATCACAACTATTTTTTTTTTTTTAGACAGAGTCTCGCTTTGTTGCCCAGGCTAGAGTGAATGCCATGGCGTCAGCTTAGCTCACAGCAACATCAAACTCCTGGGCTCAAGTGATCCTTCTGCCTCAGCCTCCTGAGTAGCTGGGACTACAGGCATGCGCCACCATGCCTGGCTAATTTTTTCTATATATATTAGTTGGCCAATTAATTTCTTTCTATTTATAGTAGAGACGGGGGTCTCGCTCTTGCTCAGGCTGGTTTCTAACTCCTAACCTTGAGCAATCCACCCGCCTCGGCCTCCCAGAGTGCTAGGATTACAGGCGTGAGCCACCGTGCCCGGCCATATTTGGGTTTCTTGAAATTCATTTGTACTAGTCAGAGTTCTCCAGAGAAACAGACCAATAGGATGTATCTATGTAGAAAGGGATCTATTATAAGGAATTGGCTCATGTGATTATGGAGACTGGCAAGTCTAAATCTACACTGTGAGCCAGCAGGCAGAGAGCCAGGAGGAGAACTGCATCCAAAGGCAGTCTGCTGGAGAATTCCTGCTTACTCAGGGGAGGGTCAGTCTTTTTGCACTATCCTGGCCTTCAACTGATGGACAAGTACCCCCTCCCCTGCCTCCACATTATGGAGGGCAACCTGCTTTACTCTATCAATTAAAATGTTAATTTCATTGAAAAACAACCTCAAACAAACACCCAGAATAATGTTTGACCAGTTGACACATAAAGTTAACCATCACAACATTCATGTGGCAATATCTACCAAGGCACAATTTGTTGTATATTACTCTGCACACTGAAGGTTCAGAGTAAATCTCGACTGAATAGAGTACTGCCAGTTTTGTGCAATTGTACCTAGCATGGGCTTTTGCTTCAGAGAGACCTAAGTTCCAGGCCCTAATATGCCAATCTTCTATCCATGTGACACTGAGCAAGTTATTTATCTAAAGTTCGTACACTTTGGTTTCCTCTTTTGTATTTTAGGAATAATTATAGTATGTAGCACCTATTCATAGAGTTCTGAGGATTAACTGCATGGAAAGGACTTAGCAGCTAAGTATTGAGCCCATGGTAAGAACTCAATAAATATTAATTGTTGTTATAGTTATTTCCACATGATTTTGTCACCTGAGTAGATGGTCAATTCCTTCAGACAGAGAATATTTTTAAAACTCTCTCAACCACACTTCATGCTTACTCTATTGTGTGCATTTGATAAGGATCTAGAGGTTTAATTGCTCTCAGATTCTATGACTCTCCTTTTATACTGAGAATGGCAGCAGGAACACACTTTAACAGCAGAATTTGTGCTCATATTTTTTTTAAGGAAAAAAATGTGAAAAATAGTTCATGTGCTATTGCAGTGGTGGGGGAAGCTAGACAAAAATCCACGAAGCAGAAATAAGCTCTAAGTAGACTCTGGTGAAGAAAGATAAGGTCCTTCAAAGGAACAAATAAACTTACAAAGAGAAAAGTCTGGAGCACATGAGCAATGTTCTACAGGTTTTAGTCACACATGAGTTGATATGAGTTCTATTCAAAGAACCTCCAGATTATTTTGGAGCAAATCCAAGATATATCATTTCTTCTATACATATTTCAATATGCATCTTTAAAAAGGTACTTCCCTTTTTAAAAGCCACAATACCCTCACTCCCCCCAAAATCAAGAAAAATTTAATACTATCAAATATCCGGTACTTATATTTTCCTTCTTATAATTATAAAATCTTTATTAAAAAGTTTATTCATATCTAGAGATAAACAATGTCTGTACATTGTTATTGGTTGACATATATCTTAAAGTGGTTTTTTTTTTTTTTAAAGTCTATAAGTTTTCTCCTAGATCTTTTTTTTCTTCCTTGTAATTTTAACATTGAAGAAAAAGGGTCATAGTCTTGCAAAAGTCCCCACTCTTTGGATTTTTGCTGACTAAATAAATATCGATGGAGTCATCAAACATGTTCCTCTGGCCTGTGTATTTTCTATAAATTCAAATCTGAAACTTGATCATTTTCAGATTTTTTTGTTTTTTATGGAGGACAAGAATACTTCATAGGTATCAGACACTTCCATCAGAAAACCACATCATGTCTTGTCGTCTTCCTGGGATGCTAGCAGCCATTATTGAGTAATGCCTATATAATTATATCTTAATTCTATTATTCCTTCTTCATTTGTTGGCTGTAATACTATTAAAAAGAAACATTCTCTCATCATGTATTAGGTTACTCCAAGGCACTAGTAGCAACAGCTATTGAAACTATACTTTTTAAAATATTTTTTTTGGTGCCGTGAATCGGATATGAACCAAGGTTGCTGCGGGCACAGAAACTATACTTTCATTAAAATTTTACTAATTAAATTTTATAAATTTGACATTACATTGCAGAATTAATCATTATTCATCACTGTCAGCTGCTGAATTGTGTCTGTAATCTCTGTACTACACATACGTATTATGAAATAGATGCTCATTTTCAACTAAGATTGATGAAGCAAGCCGGGCGCGGTGGCTCACGCCTGTAATCCTAGCACTCTGGGAGGCTAAGGCGGGCGGATAGCTCGAGCTCAGGAGTTCGAAACCAGCCTGAGCAAGAGCGAGACCCTGTCTCTACTATAAATAGAAAGAAATTAATTGGCCAACTAATATATATATAAAATTAGCCGGGCATGGTGGCACATGCCTGTAGTCCCAGCTACTCAGGAGGCTGAGGCAGAAGGATTGCTTGAGCCCAGGAGTCTGAGGTTGCTGTGAGCTAGGCTGACGCCACGGCACTCACTCTAGCCTGGGCAACAAAGGGAGACTCTGTCTCAAAAAAAAAAAAAAAAAAAAAGATTGATGAAGCAGTGTGTTACCTGGTTTCTAAAGATAATCAACCATAATTTTAATCTATACCTTAATGTTGATTAGTTTACACAAATGTTTTATTATTCTGAATAAAGAGGTGATGAATATATTCATATATCTATCTATTTCTTTTGAATTTGGGGAGGGGGATACATTCTTCAAAGTAGAATTAATAGAACAAAGTGACTACATTTATGGCTATTGTTGCTTATTGCCATATTCCTTTTCAAAAGAATTGTATTAATTTATAGTGCTATCAAGAATAAGTATATAATTTCACTTCAATGTTGACAATTGTCATAATAAAAAGCTATACTTTTTGCTCTTTTACTAGATATAAAATGTCATTTTAAAGTTGTTTTCCCTTTCATTTCTTGGATTACTATCAACTATGAGCATGTTATCATGTATTTGTTTAGTAATGATATTTCCTCTTAGGTAGAAGAAATATTCTTCTTGAACTATGCATGTCTAAACAAGATAACTATATAATGGCATCAGGACATTTCATAATCTAGTAAATTCTCAATTTTCATGAACTGGCTTATTAGGAGTGAGTATAAATACATCTAGTTTTAATTCCCTTTTTCATAAAGTTGGGCTGCATATACTTTAACCACAACAGAAGGCTATACAGAAAATACCTTAAAGTCTTATTTAATAAAAGAGTGTATTTAATAATTATTTTAAGTATTTTTTAAAGTATACTTTTAAAATTATGAATTTAGCATTACCAAAACAAAGTTAATCCAAGATTAGCCCTGAATCTTCTTACATTCAATTATATCGCTTAATTTGGTATCTTAGTCTGCTTGGGCTGCCATAACAAAATACATTAAAGTGGGTGGCTTATAAACCTTTTACAGTTCTAGAGGCTGGGAAGTCAAAGATCAAGGTGCCAGCAGATTTGGATGTGTGGTGGGCGTTCATTCTCTGCTTCATAGACAGTGTCTTCTTGCTGTGTCCTCACGTGTTGGAAGGAGTAAACAAGCTCCCTCAGGTTTCTTTTATAAGGGCATTAATCCCATTTATTTGGTTATGACTTAATCACCCCCCTAAAGGCCCTACCTCTTTTTTTTTTTTTGAGACAGAGTCTTGCTCTGTTGCCTCTAGCTCATAGCAACCTCAAACTCCTAGGCTCAAACGATCCTTCTGCCTCAGCCTCCTGAGTAGCTGGGAGTACAGGCACACACCACCATGCCTGGCTAATTTTTTCTATGTATTTTTAGTTGTCCGGCTAATTTCTTTCTATTTTTGGTATAGACAGGGTCTTGCTCTTGGTGAGGCTGGTCTCAAACTCCTGACCTCGGGCGATCTTCCCGCTACTGCTTCTCAGAGTGCTAGAATAACAGGCGTGAGCCACCATACCCGGCACCTATCTCTTAATACTATCACCTTGGGGGTTAGGTTTCAGCATAAGAATTTTTGGGGGGACACAAACATTCAGACCATTCAGACCATAGCACTTGAGACTTGGAATTTATTCCACATAATAAAACTGTCAGCCTCTACACATTCCTATTGAGGGAAAAAATGGAGTAGATAGAAATCAAAAGTTTTTAAACACTAGTTCTTCTGAAAAATCAATTTATTTAGCAAATATTAATTAAATCCCTGGATTTCTTGAGGATGGGAATAGGGAGTAATGTTTTGGGGAGGAAGTTTCCCTAGGGGTCAGAATATATGATGACATTCCCTCCTGTTTTGTTTTTCCATCAGAAAACCCAGTAGATTTAACAGCCAATCCTGTGGCCATCCAAATATAGGTCAGTGTACTACCTGCTCCCCTGGGAAGGTGATTTTCCAAGCGTAACCAGGGCTCTGGCAGATAGAGAGGGACAAGTCAGGGGAAGAGGAGGCTCTGCAGAAAACATTCACATAGGAGCTATCCAGACCTGGTCCCGGTCTAGACCTTGTATACTAGTCAGGGTTATCATTGGCAAGCAACCAAATTGCCTTAGCTGATTTAAAACTGACAGGGATTCATGCTTATCTAGTTTGAGCAATTTCTTGGCCTTAGCAATTTTCTCAGTCTATAGACACACACAATTACAGTAAACGAAAGCCCAGGTAACACTGATCTTACAGAACATTTTTTATCTCCCATGGATGTTACTTCTAGGAAATTTAATCAATTGTTTTCCCTCGTATATAATTGACTTTTCTTCTTTTAATTGGTACCTTAGTGCCTAATTAAATAAGCAAGCTAATTAAAGTAGCAATAATAATATATAATTAACTTTTGAAAAGTAGTGAATTTATCAAAGGGATAGGCATTAGGAAACCCTAATTTTAAACCTACCCTGTTTTTGATGTATTCTATTTCCATGCTCCTTTACTTCTTCTATTTTTGAAACTAATGTAAAATTGGAAATAATATCAAAATCATTAATAGCTAAATGTTTAGTGATTTCTCTTATAAATAGTATATAGGGAAAAAAATAATACACAGGATAAGGAGAGCCCCTTGAAGAATGGGAAATAAGATTGCCCTCTGGGTGTTAAACCAAAAATCAACACTGAGATGTACAAAGTCACCTTAAAGAAACAAAATGGCCTGCCACCCTAACATACCGATGGTAAAGAGATCTGATCAGGCAAAAAATATATAGGAAAAGGAGAGTCACAACAGTGAACATTGGCAAAGCCGAGTTAATTTGCCTTGAGAAAAACGAGCCCATCTGGCTTCTACCAAGTATCTGGTCTGCTTTTTAAGTATATTCTCAGAGCAGAAATACACGTGTTTGGCTCTCTTCACATGCTAACATTAAAAATAAGATTCTTATAAATATCACCTCTTCTTCTAAGCCTATGCTTCTCAAGGTATCTTCTGAAAGTTTGGCTTCTTATGGGGTTTCTGTTCAGAGAGAATGAGAGGAAGAGAAATTAAACAATGGGCTTCTGGCTCCCAAAGGTTCTTTTTCTCATTGTAAATTAATAAAATATATTTCTGTTTTCATGTATCATTCTATTGGGAAGTTTGCTAAATTGAACATTACAAGTCTGACCAATTTCAAAATATTGATGAGACATGTTTTCTAATCCTGTGATGTTTGGACCAAACTCAATAAAACTGATTTCTCCAGGTCTTCCCTGGCTAATCCCTTCTGCATGGATGAATGTTAAATGACCCTTTTTCCTTTCCAAAATGTCCACACTGTTTCTAATGAGCAGGGGTAGTTCCAGGCCACACTTCAGCTGCAAAATGTAAACATAATGGGGGATGCACAGGAATGAAATCCAGAAGTTAACTGTGTCCTTCAGGTGATGTAGACCTCACTTGCCTCATCTCCCTAGAACAATGTAGTAGCAAATACAGCTCTTAGCATATAGTAGGTGCTCAATAAATATGCGCTGACATGATGGCTGCACTTGCACAAATATGATGGTCTCTCAAGAGAGAGAGGGAGGCAGCTCACCATCTTGGGCGTATCTTTTTTTTTTTTTTTTTTGAGACCAGGTCTCACTTTGTTGCCAGCTAGAGTAAGTGCCATGGCATCAGCCTAGCTCACAGCAACCTCAAACTCCTGGGCTCAAGTGATCCTACTGCCTCAGCCTCCCGAGTGGCTGGGACTACAGGCATGCGCCACCATTGGCCAATTAATTCTTTCTATTTATAGTAGAGATAGGTCTCACCTTTGCTCAGGCTGGTTTCGAACTCCTCACCTCAAGCAATCGCCCGCCCGCCGGTCCCAGAGTGCTAAGATTAAAGGCGTGAGCTACCGCGCCCAGCCGGGGAGTATCTTTTTGACTACTAATAAATGACTGGACCATTTAGTCTCAGGGTGTGGTCCTAAAGAGAACAGAACTTCCCACAACTTGGGTGCCTTTTAACAGACACATCTCAGATTGCCAGATTACCTGGAGATAGCATCAATTCACACGTTAAGGGCTCAGTCCCACAAGCCCGCCTCCCCCCATAACTCCCCCTTATTTCAGGCTCCAGTTGAAGCACAGATGTGCCTGCCATTCTGACAGATTCACCATAAATGGGGTTCCCATGATCCTCTCTTTGGGTTCCATTAATTTGCTAAAGCAGCTCACAGAACTCAGAGAAACACTTACATGTACAAATTATATACACAAAGGATACAGATGAACAGCCACATGGAAGAGATGCATAGGTGAGGTATGGAGAAGGATGTGGAGCTTCCATACCCTCTCCAGGCACGCCACCCTCCAGGAACCTCCACGTATTCAGCTATCAGGAAGCCCTCAGAGCTTAGGGGTTTGTTTTGTTATTTTTTAATGGAAGTTTCATTAAGTAGGCATGATTGATTAAATCATAGGCCATTGCTTAGCAACTTGACCTTCAGCCTCTCTCTTCTCTCCTGGAGGTCAAGGTAGTGAGACTGAAAGTTCTATGTTGGTTCCCCTCGCAAACACCCCCATCCTGAGACTATCTAGGGACTCCAGCCACCAGTCATCTCATTAGCATGCAGAAGACACTTTCATCACTCTGGAGATTTCAGGATTTTAGGAGCTGTATGTCAGGAAATGGGGCCAACACCATATATAAATTTTACATATCACAGCAAGAGATAGGCACGTGCTGTGCCAGACACAGAGCCAGACTCCTTTGGTTATAATGCCGTATTCCCCACTAAGAATCTAGCCCTAGGCCGGGCGTGGTGACTCACGCCTGTAATCCTAGCACTTTGGGAGGCCGAGGCAGGCGGATTGCTCAAGGTCAGGAGTTCGAAACCAGCCTGAGCAAGACCCCGTCTCTACCAAAAAATGAAATAAATTATGACCAACTAAAATATATATACACAAAATTAGCCGGGCATGGTGGCGCATGCCTGTAGTCCCAGCTACTCAGGAGGCTGAGGCAGTAGGATCGCTGAGCCCGGAGATTGAGGTTGCTGTGAGCCAGGCTGACGCCATGGCCTCACTCTAGCCGGCAACAAAGTGAGACATTGTCTCAAAAAAAAAAAGAAAAAAAAAAAAAGAATCTTAGCTCCCCTGACACAGACAAACCTTCAAGAGATCTTACTGCCTCCTCTCTCTCCAAACATCACCTACAGATAAAGGGTACTGTTTCTTTCACCATGTCCAGTTTATTTCTGCTTTCTCCCCTAGTCAAATTTCTTGTGTTCACGCATGGATGCAGTATATCCAATTCTGGAAATTTGCTGTTTTGTCAAAAAAGTGTGCTTTGTATTCAGGAGACTTATTATTCATGTGTTGGCCTAAGTAACTGCTTTTAAAAGGTACACAGTACTGTAATAACAGCGTTAAAATTTTAATATTAAGGATGAGGTTGTATAAGTGACTTGGACATTATGTAAACTAATTGGAGGCTAGCTTTTTATCAGAAATGGAGAGAAAGACATTGTAGATGAGACCTGTACAGAAGTAGAGAAGAAAAATATAATGGCAAAGGTTTCATTTCACCTTTGGTATTTGGATATTGGACATTAAAATTTATATAAAGCAAATATAGTTTAAAATACATAAAAATGTCATTTTTGTAAATTACAATTCTTTTTTTTTTTTTTTTGAGACAGAGTCTCGCTTTGTTGTCCAGGCTACAGTGAGTGCCATGGCGTCAGCCTAGCTCACAGCAACCTCAGACTCCTGGGCTCAAGGGATCCTTCTGCCTCAGCCTCCTGAGTAGCTGGGACTACAGGCATGCGCCACCATGCCCGGCTAATTTTTCTATATATATTAGTTGGCCAATTAATTTCTTTCTGTTTATAGTAGAGACAGGGTCTTGCTCCTGCTCAGCTTGTTTCGAACTCCTCACCTTGAGCAATCTGCCCGCCTCGGCCTCCCAGAGTGCTAGGATTACAGGCGTGAGCCACTGCACCCAGCCTAAATTACAATTCTTAATGCACTTAATGCATACCAAAGTGGCTGATTTGGGGACACAGTCACAAAATGAATAAGGTAATTTCTACTTATAGAGAGATTATTGCAAAATACAACATGCATTAAATTAGTGAATATAGGATGTTGGCAGAATAATGTAAAACAACACCCATCATCAACCTAGTATTTGCATGCTCATTATAGTGGCTGGGAACCAGTTAGGAGAACAGTACTCTCACAGCTTTAAGATAAGTATAAAAATGTCATGAAATTTTAAATTTATGGTACAAAGGAGTCAGTCATAGAGTTTGGAGTTCCAAAGTATTCACATTGGACTTGGGAAGTCAACATCAATGGTTGGCTGGCTTTCTCCAGTTTTTAGTAGACTGTACTAGTTAAGAGCAAAGATTTTAATCTGAGAGACCTAAATTTGAATCAGGCTCTAATGCTTCCCAGATGGGTGATCTTGGGCAAGGTGCTTACATTTTATGTATGTATGTGAGTTATCTCACCTGCAAAATGGGAATGATAATTTCTACATCCCTGCTAATAGCCAAAGTATTTAACAACTAGTACATCTTGGGCACCAACCAATCAGAATGGACTCTGGCCTTACCCCTGGAGCAAGGGTCCTAGAGGGCCCCTGCTGTGCCCAGTGTTAACCCTTTAGTTTCTGAATTTGAGGAGGACAAGGTTTAAGGCTCCCCAGGAGAAGAGCTAGTCAACTAGAGAAACAGAATATGATGTGGAGGGCACTTGGGGAACTCAGGGCACCAGCTCCTCACTGACCACTGTGGAAGTATTTCAGTATTTTAGTAACCACTTTGGCTATATGGCTGACATAGCCATGCCTAAAATACAGTTGTTGTGAGGATTGATATATACAAAGCACTTCATTCATATTAAGCTCAATAAATGATAGCTATTATAATAACAGTAATAGTGTCATGATAGGAATAAAATAATGGCATCCTCAGGATTATAGAGAGGATTAAATAAGATAACATAGCCGGGACAGTGGTGAATACCGGATCGATGGTCCTAGCTCCTTGGAAGGATTAGGTGGGAGGATTGCTTGAGCCTAGGAGTTCAAGGCCAGCTTGAGCCACAGAGAGAGACCTCATCTCAAAAAAAAAAGAAAAATAAAAAAGATATTGTGCTAAGCATTTAATTTGGGGTTTGGCCTTTAGTAAGTTCTCAACAAACTGTAGGCATTATTATTGATTACATTGTTGTTGTGTCGTTATTTAAAGCCTGGTGTATGGATTAAGTTGGATGCAGTGGATTAAAAGACTACTCAGGGCCAAGCAAATATGTACATATATCATAGCTTTTCTAGCTACTAAATGATAACCACATTTATGTTGTAAGATTAAATGAGATCATGGGAAATATTAATAGTATGAAAAACTAGTGAATAATTTTTGGAAAACAAAGGGTAAATGACAAAACACCTTATAATCTGGAATAGACCTAGTTTGTCATACAGTGAAAAAGAAAATTAAATTCATAAACATAATTGCATCTGACTAATTATTGGCTGTAAACCCAGAGAAGGCACAATATGAAGGAATTGACAAAATAACAAAATCAACTCTAGCATCTTTGAAATAACCTTAATCTTGATTAATTATTGTTATTGATAATTTAAAATTCAATGGTACATTTTTCCGGGAGTTTATATTAGAGATAAGTAATATTTTTTGCTAAATTAACAAGCAGGTAATGATTTTTCCTTAATAAAATATATCAGCTCAAATCTTTAGAGTCTTCTGAAAGCTTTCCTACACTACACGATTTAATAGTTCCTCAGACTATGGGTACACAACACAAAATGAAATGGCTATTTTTAAATAACCTACTTATTTTTTGAAAAGTAAACATTCAAAACAGGATAATTGAATGGATTTGGTGTTTGTGAGTTTTAAGCCTCAATTGTTTCTTGGCACTCAATATTAAATCAATTAATTACAAATTGCAATCTCCATTTTACCATGACTTTAAAGTCTCCAGTGAACATTTAGTGGTCTATGGGTCTATAAAATGTGGTTGAGATGGTTGCCTACAACTAATATTAATAGTATTTTATTCCTAGGGTTTTAGTCATCAGATTTTTTTTTAATCCTTAAAGTAACAATCTAGACCATCATTATGAGGGAGGTGTGTCTGAAGGTACCAACTACCTAAAGAGGCACAGAGCCAGAAGTGTCTTACTTTTTTATTCAAATATATTTTCCCACATTTTTATGGTAAACTCAAAGCTAATTTTCATAACTAATTAATCAATATTGTACTACAAGTCCTGCTATAGCCTCAAAGGGAACTAACTTTTCCATTCAAGTAAGCCTGAGAGAACAGAGGTTAGTATTCATATAAACTGTTTGAACAGACATTTTTTAAAAAATTGTACTTATGGGAATCAGATTGCATAGTATTATTAAACATGCTATGTGCATATATAATTTTCTGACTTCTGTTTTTTTTTTTTTTTTTTTTGCACCGCAGCCTAAACTTACAATCTCAAAAAAAAAAAGAAATCTTAGCCCTTCCCCTGACACCAGACAAACCTTCAAGAGATCTTACTGCCTCCTCTCTCTCCAAACATCACCTACAGATAAAGGGTACTGTTTCT